ACACACACACACACACACACACACACACACACACACACAGACAAATTCTTGTTATCCACAAAAATGTATATATCAACTCTAGCCCTTCCTACCTTAAATAAACAGAACATGCGTGATAGGTCAGTTTCAAAAGGATCCCTGACTGATTCTTTAGACTAAAGCAAAATAATATGCAGTGAATCATATGCAGACACAGTCGTGCCTAGGTTTGTTAAGTATGTGGATATAAGCTTGTGTGAAAACGCAGATTTGCATAATTCATATTCAACATTGAACTTTTCAAACCCACCAGACCACTGTCATTTGTCTTCCTAGAAGTGAAGCGTTTCTGTTATATCTGCTTTGACTGTGTCATTGTAAAGTCACACGCTAAGAAAAGCTAACCACTCCTGCCTTCAGGCCTCTTGTGTTAAATAGGAAGCTTTGTCTAGTGGAGTTTGGTGAGTTTTAAGAGAATAAAAATGGATATTTTTTTTCAGTATCCTGAAGGAAAAGGCTGTTTGATGGCGAGGTGAAGAGCTCAAAGTATTCTAATTATAGCATACGCTTTAGCTGATATTGATTTGTTATCTTTAGGACGAAAGGTATGCTTCTATGGTATTATTATTATCTGACTTTCCAAAGCTGGGGGCCTACCGATAGTTGTCTACTGTAGATTATATGTTAGCGATGGATAGGCATCTTATACTAGCCCGCTTCAAAGAGGCCGAACAATCCCTTTAAGGCACCATTTTAGAAATAAAATGCTATGTGAAAAGAAAAGAAAAGAAAAGAAAAAGAAAGCTTGTTAAAATGGTGCTTTATGACCGTGAAGACAGCATGAGACATGGACATAAGAAAAAAAGAAGAAAAAAAAGCTTCACATGCAGGACAAACAAAAGAAAAACATCTGGGTGATATGTTTGCTCAGGGGTGGGATAAATCATGCATATTCCTCAACGATTTTAATCCTGCCATGATGTGGGGCCAAGAGGCTCCCTGAAGAACAACTGGGAGGACCAGCTTCCAGATTTATGGCCTGAAGGCTCAGTCGGAGCGGCTCGGAGCAGTGTCGCTGGATCCCTTTAGTGATAGAGGGAAATGTCTGCGTCTGTGTATGCATCAGCCCCACGGCACGGCTCTAAGTTATTTACAGTGTCCTGTAAATCCACAGTTTTTTTTCTTTTTTTTTCTTGCTCTGCTCAAGGACCTTGGCGTGTTAATGGAAGGATTTCAGGGAGTTTTGTCTTTTGTGTGAGGTTCTTATTGAGTTATGCGACACTTTCCAGAGACGTGTCAGAGAAAGGCCGAAGTATTTCAGGCGGTCATCGCGGAAACAGCCCCTGCAACTTGCTGGAGATGAATTTGTCTCATCCACGAAGCGGCTTCAGATGTCCGCCGGTGTCCGGAGACTTCCGAAACGCTGCGGTTGCTCATGCGGGTCGGAAATCAGACTGGATTTAACGGTCCCGGTCACTGCTTGCTCTCCTTCACCCCTCATTGGCTGCCCGCTGAGAGAGAACGTCAGATGTCCGGTCATCTGTCCCCGCCATATGCCACACCCATGATCATTTTAACTCTCGCCCTTTATTTGACATCTCCAGTCAGCATCGAATTGGCCAGAGCAAGCCCTGGCACATCCACAAATGCATTTGCCATGCTGCTTATCCAACTCAGTTCATTATCACGGGCACTTACCTCTGACTGTCTGTCAGTAACAGATCTCAGAGCCACACGGCGAACACTAAGGTCACCCTCAATTTCAAGTTAAATGATTTTATATCATCTGCGAAACTTTTGGTACTTACATAAGAGCTTTGCACCGTGTGTTTGTGACTTTGGGCAGTGTCTTAGAGAGTCCCAGCCGGCTGGACGAGGAGCATCGCCTCATCGCTCGATACGCGGCCCGCCTGGCAGCTGAGGCAGGCAACTCCACGGTGAGCATCTCACACCAGGCCCCATCAGGCTGCATCTGAAGTTCAGCATGTTGGAAGTTGTTGTTGGTGTATTCTAAGGTGACTCGGAGACAACTACATGATCAGAAATGAGCAAACCCATGTGACTGCTCACTCTGCAGCCTTTGATAAATTTCCCCTCTTCAAAAGAAATTTGCCAGACGAGCATTTAAAGAAAGATAGTGTTGAAGGTTTCACATAAGAACCCATAATGAGGACAAAGAGACAGCGCTGTTTTTTTAAAATGTAAACGTTTATTTGGGTTTCAAATAAAGCTGAACTTGAAACGTGGAGTGATGAAGGACAGCGTCAGGGAGCTCTAACGTGTCCCTTTTAAATCAGAAAATAATTACAAGGCCTAGCCTCTTTGGTGGTATGAAGGTTGCTGTTTGTGTGTCATTTTCTTTCTCCCACCAAGTCTAACATCTGAAACTTCTGTTCTCCAGCAACCGTGTCCTCCCACAGATCTGAGTTTCAACTTTGATGCCAACAAGCAGCAGAGGCAGCTGATCGCTGAGCTAGAGAACAAAAACAGGTACAATATATCGTTTAATCACACACAAGGGAAAGAAAGACCTAATGTTTTGCTAATTGTCAGCTCTTGGATTAATGAGCCAGAAAAAACTGTTTTACTTGTGTGTTGCTTCATGCTTTTGAACAACTCCATTCGTTATACACTTGATTGGTTGGAGAACATCTGATCCAAACTACAAGGAAATTGTACATATAAACAGATTTAATCATTTACACTCAGTATCAATATACTACATTTTGAAACCTTAACATGTTGTGTATATTGCAACGCAGAGGCTCATTTTGTATTTGAAGCTAGCAGAAGCGACCGTCGGAAAAAGTGTAGTGCGGCTCACCTGTGAATGGGAATGTGCGCTGCCTTTAGGGAGATCCTGCAGGAGATCCAGAGGCTGCGTTTGGAGCATGAACAGGCCTCTCAGCCAACACCAGAGAAAGCTCAGCAGAACCCCACGCTTCTGACTGAGCTGCGCCTCCTCAGGTATCTCACGGCTGCCACTCCTGCACCACGTCTTACCCAGAGAGAGGAAGAGCGAGCCATTCTCAGAGGGAATTATCCCCCCACAAAAAAAACAACCATCTGTAGTATTTATGTGCGCCGAGCGCACTCTCGAAACAGAAATAACATCCTGAAATTAGCCGCTCTCGCGGCGGCAGACATTTGTCCTGCTGGCAGGGTTCTGTCACCTTTGGGTTGTGTTCTCAGAAAAACGTCCCTCCCTGAGAGGACGGATCACAGAGCTTGTTACCCTGAAGGACTTTTTGTCTGCGTTGTCTGTCTTGAATGATAAATCAGAAACACGATGAAGGTTAACAGTTGTAAGAGTGCTTAACATTCCAAATTCTTTGTCTTTTATGGCACAAATTTTGCGGCTCGGGGCTAGTTGATCATTAATGGTTTATGAAGTGTCTTTGAATACATCGTATAGTTTTCTTTTCCCTCTGTCACTCCTTGGTGTCTAGAAGTGATGTTACATAAACGGGGAAGTGGCATTTTGTACAATTAACTTGGTTTCACTGGGGCATTCATTAAATCTATTTGTTATTTCTTGTATTCAGAAGCATCACAAAGCCTGTTTTTGCCTTTTTTTGTCTCTTTAATAAGATAAATTTAGTCAGACCTATGAGATATTTTTTTAACTTCCAGTCCCACCCTACGAACAGCAGAGGGTGGTAATAAGCCAGGCTCCACACTTAAAATCAACTAACGAGGCTCCCAGACTCAAATATCTTGTGTAGGAGCTGATCTTTTGCACCAAGGTGTGTGACTTTATCACTTGATTTATTTTTTTATGTCCTTTCTATTTAAAACTATACAAGTTAGAGCAGTTGTATACTGTTTAGTAAAGTATATTCCGTAGAACAGAGACATATGTCTTAGTCATTATTAAACTGTCATCATTCCAGTCCACTCTTTATACTGTGTTATTAATACTCAATTCATCAGGAGATATTTTTGTTAAGCAGCACAGAGTGTTTCAGAATTTATGTTGAGCGGTCAGACAGTTCCTTAGATATGGATGAAATGCCGTCTTTGTGCTCCAGTACAATGATAATAACTGGGATTTATTGAGCCCTTATCAGAGCCATTATGCTGAGGATAGCCAATTTTAAACAGCCATAAAACCTTCCGAATGTAAAATATTAAATCAACTCACAAGTAGTTCGAAGAATATCCCAGCATTCCTGAAACTAAAGATATGCAATGACTGCGAGAGAAAAAGACATGACAGCGTGAGCAAATTTTTTTAACACCATATATATATATATATATGGATGGACCCCCTAAAGGATGGCCTGACAATCTTTCTCCAAAAGTGGCACAAATGTCACTGACAGTTGTGACAATGATGTCTAAGAAATACCAGAGATATCTCATCTTATCGGCCCTGTGAAGTAAGAGGAACTTAGTGCCCTCCAGTTTGTCCCACCTTATAAGTATTTAATAATAAATACTTATCAACTTCACTGGTTAAAACGACTTCATCATTTATTGACGGTAACCTGTATAAATGATGTAGGAGCGCACCTCTCTGTGTCTCCAGTCACCTTTAACAAACGTCACACCCTCAGATTGAGGTTGGCAGGTCTTTGTTGAGCAGGCCACTCTTCCATAAGATCCAGCCTTAGAAAAATGAATTAGCAACCTGAAACATGAATCCCTCTCTTGTTGCTCTCCTCCCTCCTCAGACACAGGAAAGATGAGCTGGAGAGACGCATGTCTGCCCTGCAGGAGAGCAGGCGGGAGCTGATGGTGCAGCTGGAGGGCCTGATGAGGCTGCTGAAGGTACCGTCACCCGCCCCTCCATCAAATCTAAACTACTAAACACTAGTTTCCTCCTTGTTGAATTAAAACCAAAGCACTGCTTTGATCTTACATTCTGTTAAGGTGCCATGTAGTGCATGCTTAAGTCACTTTCTTCTTCTTTCATTACTTTAATTCTGTTGCTCTCACTCTCCTTGCTATTCCCCTTGCTTACCTTTTGCTGGCTGATAGGATGAGGAGCAGAAGCAGGCTGTAAGTTGCCTTTAATTCAGTTTGTAAGGCTCAATACCAGGCTCTCGTCACATCACTTAGTGTAATGCCTCAGCACTCCAAAGCCCTTCACACAGATTCGATGGACGGCAGTATTTCGGCCCATTTTTAAGGTAGCTGTAAGGAGAGATAATGGGATTCGACTATTTAACAGGGTTTTGCTTTTTCTAGTCATCAAATTCCGACCACTGCACCACTTCCTCGTTACATCGATGTTAGAGCCACAGGGACATCATTTTTAAAGCTGTTTTTGGACCAAAGAATTTTGGAAAACCGTGTTGTTGTTGTTGTTGTTGTTTTTTTAAAGATCAAATGTCAGAGACCTGTTCCTTTCACTGGTTTTAACAACCTTCCCTCTAATGTGGCTGCAGTCTCAGTGGCCATCTGCTGCCTGGCTCAGAGCCATCAACCTGAGCCTTCATCAAACCCAGACACACAGTAATCCTCTCTCTGTGTGAGATATAGCTTCAGACTCAGCGCAGGACCGACTCTCACATCCACACATCCTTCACATTCACCTCTCCATGCAGTAAATGTGCACGGTTAAACACACAGCCAGCCAGGATAAGACTATCAGACATTTTCATTGCCTTTAAACCATTGTTTCTGTTTGTTCTCCCTATGAGGATTATGCGTTGTTTTGGTCACATCTGTGTCTGTATTTGTTTTAATGGATGTCACATATCGGAGAAAATGGGTTTTAGTTTTTATTGAAGGTACAATCTGTGCTTGTAATGCTGCATCCTGTTTGGGAACATGGTCATTCTGGGACAGGCTTTGGTCATGAAGAACTTTATGAGATTTCAGATATTTTAAAAAGTCCTGCTGCCATACAGGTTTAAAAGGTGCAAAGACAATATGAGATTTATTCAAGTTTGTGAATTTCGGCATCTCGATATTTGCTATTTGTGCACATTCGAGACAGCTTTTGCTATCTTTTGTGGGTGGATTATTATACATCGCATGGGTAAAATGCACTTGTTTTAAGAAACTGTATTTCAACTGAGTGATTCTGCATAAACTGTCATGCCTTGTGCCAAGCAATGGAAACATTTCTGCAAAAATCCTATGTCAAAATATTACAGGGAGCCATTTTGTGAAGACATATCTCTGCTGTCGTAACCTTAAAAAGTTGTTGAAAAAAAGTATTTCTGGTGTGGAAATCAAAATAGGTATGCAGATTTTATCAACAAAAGTTTTAGTTTTTTATGTGCTGAGTTTATATATTTGCATATGTGGTTTAGGTGAATAAGACATACTCCATGTATACTGAACCACAATTTAAGTTAAAACAATATGACAAATATCAAAGATGAATCTGAAAGTGATACCATAAAGACATAAGGATATCTGTGAGAAAAGATTAATTTCGGGAAAGAGAATGATTCTGTTTGTTAAGAATTTGAAAGATGATCCATTGGAACTTTCATGATTTTTATCCATTTCAGTCCCAGTCTGGAGGCTCCCCTCATTCTTCTCCCAGTCATGGTGCAGGCTGCTCCATGCCCATGCCCATACGCTCCACCTCGGCTGGGTCCACTCCAACCCACACCCCCCAGGACTGCCTGGCAGGAGTGGGGGGTGATGTGCTAGAGGCCTTCTCTCAGGGTGAGTCTGAACCTGGCATAATTCATGAAAAAAGTCGGTGAAATGGTCAGAAAATGTGTCATAAGCCAGTGATAACACAAAAAGTTTGTTTGTATTTTTCTAAAAAAAAACCCCACTGAAGATGCAGTCATACTCCAAAACCATCTTATGGCCATAACACCTTTTTATTTTTTGATTAATATTAATGGAGATCTCTATAGAGTGAGATTTTGGCGAACTCTTTCCCTTTGTAATGCAGGTTTTCACTTGAACTGCCTAAGGCTAATGTTCTGCTCAGTAACACTCAAAAGACTCGTAACACACATTTTCTCTTTGATACGAAACTCAGGTGTACCTAGAAATCTTCGGAACGATCTTTTAGTTGCTGCTGACTCGATCACAAACACCATGTCATCCCTGGTGAAAGAGCTGCACTCAGGTTGGTCTAAACCACATCCTTCTTTACTCCATGTTACATGTTCTGTACTCAAAAGGAGATCGATTTAGTGTCCGTACTCGCTCCTGCTGCTTTGCTTTTTTTTGACTGTGTGTATGTATGATAATGCAAGCCACTGCTGCTAAAATTTGGGGTTTCGTTTATATAGTAGATGACGGGGCAGAGGAAGAGGAGACCAACATGAGGAATGGTGGAGACAGAGGTGGGTTGAGATACTTGGATGTACATATATATATTTACTTTTTTGCTTTTAAAGTAATAAACAGGACATACTGTATATAAATACATGGTTTACAATGCTGACTGCAATTGTTCTTGAATTTAATGATTGCTGCAGTCATCTTTGGAAACCAAAACATAGGACCACTTTTCTTTCGTTTTTTTTTTAACAGAAAACTGCTACTTATTTCTCTGTCCAAACATAACAATGCAAGTCTTTTTTTTAAATGATTACTTAGTCCAGACTGGTCAGGCTTTCTGCAATATTTAATGTACTCCTTTATTTATGTGTCCATTTACAGTGAGAATACAAAAGCACTGAGGGAAATAAAGCACTGTCCCTTCCTCCAAGGGCATCAACTGGGAAGAATCAGCAACAACCGACACCCTCTGGCATTAGCACGTAGAATAATGCATGCATGTAATCTATCAGGATTTCACTGTGTGAATTTAAAAAAAAAGAAGAAAAAAAAAAGTTTCTACACGCCTTGCGAATAGCAAGATGTGTCTAATTAGCAAGTGTGTATGTTGTCCTGTAAACAAAAGCTGCTGTAAGTACCCAACGATTCCCATCATGACTGCTTGGTAATGGCTTGCTGTGTTTTCACTCCCAAACGCTCCATTCCAGCAGATCGCTCTGTACATAAAATCCCGCCAACACGTGACCTCGGGAAAGCCTGCACATGAGGTAGAACCTCTTGTCACCACATGTCCACTGTCTTTTAGCTTTTTGGGTGGTAAGCCTTTGTTTTCTGTGCTTTGATCATTTCAGCACAAAGTTGCACTCATTGTCCAGGATTAAGGTACTGTACACTGCTATGCCAGCTCTTTGTGGTTTTTTTAGAAGAAACCTGGGTTGTCGGAGATGTCCTGCCTCAGAATTCATGCCAAGTGTGTTTACCGACACAACTGTGTTGTGGAGCCAGAGTTAGCAGATGCATATGAATAATTGCAAACTAAGATTTGACCATCAACTTAATATTGTTACCGTGCCTATGAGAAGCACCCAGTCAGCCGCTGCCTAATGTACAAATAAAAAAGGACGTTGAGATCCCAGGGACTCGTGGAAGTCACGTAACCCATTTAAGAAATCCTGCTAAGATCTGCTAAAGAAACCTACATTCATCTCACAGATCCAAGGCTGATATGGATCTTTCCGTGGAACACTTTGCTGAAAGCTAATATGCATATTGGCCAAAATCTTTAACTGATGATTTTTAAAGAAATCCTCAGCTGAGTGTATTTCATGATACGTGATAACAAACAAGCTGGCGTCCAGAATGCAGGGTGCGTGTAAACACACCGGCTGAGTCTCATACTTATTCTGCTGCTACTGTGCTCTTAGTGAGCAGTGCCTGCCAATAAGAGGGCCGGGCTGCAGAGACTAAGGAGCTACTAAAAACACAATAATGCACCGGGTCTCCTGAATCCCGCCCGATGAGCACAGCAAAACACTCAAAACAGCATGGCGCCTCTTTCCAAAGGGCACCGGGGGGCTGCTCGCCGCGGCATTTATTGTGTAGGGAAGCACCTCAAGACAGAAGTGAGTAAGGCACTAGGCTTTAGTTGTGAGTTGCAACATGGACACTTGTTCAGATGATGGAAGGTCGTAGCAAGTAGTTAAAGTAACAAAGTGTTTGAGTAGCTTTATTTAGTTCACTTAGGATTATGGAAAATGTGAATGTGCAATGATGGGATGTGCTCAGGGACCCCAGAGCTACAGTATAGTGGGAATGATTGTCATAGAATAAGAGGTCAAATGGGACTAAACACGAAGGGGTTAATTACAAAAATATCTATAGTGCAGTGTGTGCTATTTTCAAACTGATCCTTAAACTTGCTTTCAATCACTGTCATACTATTTTGTTGAGGCTTCCCAAAGTAAATGTTACCATCAGCGTGGCCTATTTTTAGGTCATTCCTGCAGAGTTCCAGAGAAAGGGATGATTTAGATAAAGAAAAGAAACATCTCAGAAGTGCTATTCGGTGAAGCATGTTGTTGGATCTAGTTTGTCTCTTTGTGAGTTAGTGTCTTCTGCCGGGAAAAAAAGGGATACTTCTGTTACAGAGGTGGCTGTTAACCGAAGAGGACCTTTGTCCGGAGCCACATACATACAAGTCACCTTTATATTTGTTTTGTGTGATTTAATGTTTTCTCATTCAGGGTGACCGTCCATCTCAAATTAAATGGGGCATTGTTTTCTTTTATGTTACAAGGAGGGCTAAGGATCCGGAGGAATACGTTCGGTTTTCTAAACCTGATTTCTTTTTGGTGATTTTTGTGCATTAAGCCTGTCTAAGTATAAGCTAAGTATAAGGTTTCTACTACCTGTTACACTGTGTCAAGAAAAAGAACAAAAGAGGCGCCTTTGTTATAGTTGTTCTAAATGTGATGTTCTCATTCAGTTCTCTCTTCTGCTATATGTTACTATTATTGTTATTATTCTGGTTTGCAGTATTGGTGGAGTATAGTCATTGTAATGAGCACACTTTCATTGTCCCCAAACATAAATCTGTCAACCAAATGAGACCATTGAACATTCCACAATCAATTATTAGCTCCAAATGCAGTAAAAAAAACAACAAGTTTAATTACTTTCTAAACTTTCATTTCCTAAATTCAAATGCCCTTCATCTCTTTTCTTTTTGTTTATTAGGTTTGTGCCTGTAGCTGTACTGTAAAGTGCTGTATAAAGTAACCAATAAGCAAAGAAGATGATCTATCAGCTTCTATGTCTGAGTTTTAGTCTGTGACTTTGCAAAAGATATGATTTATTTATTTTCTAATGTGTTCCTGGGGGAAACTTATGCTTAGCCTTTACAGTTGTGCCAAACTCTTTGCATACTTTGTGGGTTATACAAGTTACAGATAAATATCAAAGTATAACTGCATCGGTGTGCCCTTGCTCATAACCTCACAGAATGCCTGATAATGTTCATGGCTAATAACTTCCAGCACTGAAATACGCTGGAGAAATGTTCTATTTATTATAGTAGTTAAAATATGACAATTATAGAAAACACATTCCGGATCTATTTCGAGAACGTTACCAATATCATTTTAGGCAATACTATATGTGCACCCTGTACAACTAAACTCACAGTAAAACAAACACAATACAGCCTTTCGTTGGGAGCAGCAAAAATTGTGAACCTTTTGTTGTTTTGGAGACGATGTGCAAAGCAAACAGCGGCGCTCCCCTGATGTTATTTATCTCTGTGCGTGTTCTCTATGGTTACGCTTCTCATTCTTATGTTTTTCACCTTGATTTTACAAAACATAGTTTTATGTCACAAAGCCACTCTCTTTTGTAAATAAATCAGATGTGAGATATATTAAAAAAAAACATTTCAAATATGGCTCATGCTCATTATTTAAGGTTTGATGGGTATACAGAGGCACATGGCAAGAAACGACATGGAACTTAACAGGTTGTGCCATCAATGGTTGCGGGATAGACATAGACTGCCCTTAGACACCTGGCATCCCTACGACCACCTCAGAGTCCAATTCTTTAGGTGGGAAACACCTGTGCGGGGTTCCCTGGGGGTTGGCAATCACTATTTACCCACAGAAAAAAAATTAACTTCCGTTCCCACCGGAGGTCTGTATCTTCTCATTCCCATTTATATACACAGTCTGTCTAAACACTTGTGTTCATGAGCCCGTCAAGCTGGGCTGAACCCTGTTTCTGATTAACTTCAAAGTTGATATAGTTTTTTTTCTTGCTGTGGAGGTTGACTTCAGATGAGAGTCAGCCATGGGGGTGGGATGACGATAAGATAAAAAGAAACCATTTGTAATCCCTCTGTCCACGGACACAAGTGGACACTCATACACCAGAGACGGATACTCGTGTAAGGAGAAACAAATGTGGTAGGAAGGCAGAGGCGGTGACATACTTGGTCTCTTACTTCATTGTTAAAACAATGTCTTTGTCTCAACCTACAATTACTAATCCAAGGTAATTAATCATTATGGGAAATGTGTCTTCTTTTTTGTCTCAGCTACCCACTTGCATACTTTTATTATATCACTGTGTTACTTTTAAGATGCAAGCATATTTATAATGCCTCTCAAACCCCCCAATTATATCCACACTTGCTGACGTAGATGTCACCAGCCAGTGACTGATTGTCTTTCTCTGTAGTTTGTGAGGCAGTGAGTTGCACTTGATGTCCTCAAATGAACCACTCAGGGCTGCTGACTCGATGAGAAAGAGGCTCTGCTGCTTTTAGACCAGTGAACCACATCCGCCTGCTGAGCAGACTGTTCCTCTTGCTCCTAAGTAGGCTTCAACCTTTCCTGTGGGATTTGCTGTCTGAGACTTTAACCTTTGTGCGTGGAGCAACCTCAGTCACCTACCTCATGGTGTCTCCATCTAGTGGGCACGTTTGGGATCAGTGTGGGTTGGAGTGCAGGGGAGTGGGGTTAATGGAATGAAAATGATTAGAGATTCAAAAGCTTGCTCCAGCTGCTCTGCAGGAAATGAAGAGTAGATGAGTTAGATTCTGTGTGAACTCAGCTTCATGGTCCGAAATGCATTTTAAAAGTGGTACAGATACAGAATTGACTTGATTAGCCATTTGATTTCAAGTGGATAAAACAAAAACCTACATGTCAGTTATTCTTTTGTGGTATGAAGTAGAAAACACATGTTTCATTCCTGGACATTAAATCTGGCCTTAAGCCCCAATTAAGGTCATGGCTACCGTCACTTTATGCGTATGTACTTTGAAGTAAAAATGATTAAATGTATTTTAGTCAAGAAATGGATTAATTTGACAATTGCCTGAACGTGTGATGCTCATTAAGGAGTTTGGCTCTGACAACCATGGTTAGAAAAACTGCTCATAAGTCTTATTTTCACACAGCTAAAATAAGTCATTTAAATAGTGTTCAGTTGTTCTCCAGGTTAAATGAAGTACGTTAAAAAATGAAATTATGTCCAAAAACCGAACAGGCACTGTCCTACCCTTTGATAATTAAGCACGAGACTTTAAGCAAAAAATGGAAATACAAATTTGCGCTTTCTCTTTCTGAGCAGCGTTGAGGAGAAATGTGTTTGCGATTCCGGAAGTCGGAAAACGGAAGTGGCCGTAATGTGTGCTGTGGGCGGGTACGTAGCTGCTCGTGTTCTTAGATTAAGGGGACCGACGAGAAACAGGAAATGACACCAAAGGGCAGTTATATTTAACCTTCCTTTTAACATCTTTTTTCTGTCACGCGAAAATGTTTTAAATCTTGTTGCTTTTTTTTTGTTCATCATGCGTTTTTTAGATCACAGTTTCATTTGGTTGGTCAAAATGTAGATCAATTCCGATGCGTGCGTTCATATTATTTAGATATTATTGTCATATGTCTGACATTTTCAAAACTCAGCTCAAAACAGTCCCCGTTACCAGCTTGTAAAGAGAATGTTGAAATTGGCTGTGAGATCTGTGACTATTTTTAGACTGCCTGTGACATGTGTGACAGGTGGTGGCCCCCAGGGCTGTGTGTGATAGGCATCTTTACACAAGGAGGGCCTCTGCTCGGTTTCCATTTAATTTAGAGTGAATGCACACCCATCATTTATCAAGACAATAGTAATAGATCCCTTGGGCCCAATGGATTGCGAGACAGGATTATGCCTGCTTCCAAAAGTTGAAATCAGATACTATAATTAGAGCTGTTTTTATAAGAAAGTGATGTTGTCATGTGGGGACTGTAACTTCTCTGTAGAAAGAGATATTGGTGACAAAGTCTTAAATATATGTGGATACCAGGACTCAAATCAGCCAAACAGAAAGCTACATGCTATGCTAAACTGATCATTAAATGTGCTCACTAATGTTTAGTGGCTTGTTATTTTACTGTTTTATCCGTATTATATAGATTTTTCAGTTGTACAATTTTATTTAAGCAGTTGTGAGGAATAACAACTTGTGATTGAAGTAATTTCTGATTGTACAAAGTTTAATTATGTCAGCACATGTGCATCTGTTTCTAATAAAGCGGTGGGAAAGAGATGTGATTAATGCTGCTCATTTCTGAAAGAGAAAGGCAGTAGATGGTCTACTAGCATTAGATGCATTTGTAATTCCAACGACAAACAACCAAGCAAGTTCAAAATCTTGTCAAGATGCAAAAGAGCAAAAATGGTGAGAACATCCAGTATTTATGACTCCAGCGTGTTTTAATATATAGATATAGATAGATCACACATCACAATAAGCGTCACTGGGAAAAAGATCCAGATCAGATGGCCATGACTTCTGAACACACATAATGAAACCGATGCAAGAATAAAGCTTGATGTTTCAGAGTTTAGCTTCTACACGTTACACCTGTCACTTCTGCAGGTTGAAATATGCTCCAGCGACCTCTCACACAGGCCACATCTCACATTCAGGAAAAAAAAACCTTCATTTTTCCTATATCATTCAGCCTACAATGAGCTCAAATCAGGTCCCATTTCCTCTCCATCCTCCAGAACCCCTTGCTTAGACAGACGGCCTGTGTGGTGCTGCAGTGGCTGTTGGGCTGGGGGCTGCCGCTGGAGCGCGCTCCCGCGGGGTGCGTGCGGATCTCGGCGTGCAGGCACAACTCTGCGTAAGGCGCATCTGGAGGAGAGCTGGCCGGCCGGGGAGGTGGAGGACGGGGAGAGAAGAGGAAGGAGGCTCCGGGAGCAAGCGAGACACACACAAAAAAAAGAGGGTCAGAGGCCTGGGACTTGGGAGAAGCGGGTAACGAACACACGTCGATTCACGGCTTTTTTAAATCCGTCTAACCCGGAGAAGGCGCGCGCAGGAAGGGTAACCTTTATTTGAACAAAAAAAAAAAAAAAAAAACGCGAAAGCTCCGAGAGCGGAAGGCGCTTGATAGACATGGGGGGAAATAGCGAAATGAGGGGCTCGCTTTTTTTTGTGTGTGTGCAGATGATGCTGATCTAAAGGGGGGGGAACTTCGCCGTGTTTACGCCACGGAACCGGCATCGCGGCTCCTCGAAACACTTGCCTCGTTAAAAGAAATAACGGGGATCGATCGCCCAGTGGCTGTGGCCTGTAAAGCAGCCACAGTCCCCTGGGTCATTTTCTAGACTTCCCCATGCTGCAGAAGACGGATGAAACTTTGCGATTTTTAAGGCATAACCCGGTGAATAAGAGATGCACGTCATAGGATCGGAGGAACGTGAGCGGGCAGCCTTACAATAAACGCCCGTGCGACCCCGGCATAAGCGATTTCTTTTTTGCACGACCTGCATGCTGGCTTCAGGTATTATTATTATTCTTATAATTGCAAAAGCGAGCACTTGGTTCGAGCAGGTTTTATATTTTGAAGACACGTCCGAATGTCATCGGTTTCAACGTGACCCTTAGAGGAAAACCAGTCATTCCTCCTCATCATATTGTGTGGGATTTAGGTTTTTTTTGCACATTTCCACGAGTGCAACAGTGTAGTGTCGCATGGCAGACTGCTTGAGTAACTTCATACTGCTAGAAATGAAAATAAAAGATTATTATAAAAATGCTAAAAGTTTAATCATCTGGTTTTCTTGATTTTTCGACAGCTTACTGAGTGTGATTTAACCGGCCTTGCATGACAACTACAGCACAAGCACATGCATGTGGTTTGAGTAGGCCTGTAGGCAATTGTCAGCCTGTGTGGCTCTTGAAGCTATAGGATATGCCCTCAACAAAGAGAATTTTGAGTGTCAGAGTAAAGCGAGATGATTAGAGGAAATATGTGCAAAGTATGTCAAGGGTTGCAGTACTCAGCTTGGGTGACACACTTCTCAGCTCTGAGTGCAGGGCTCCAGTCTGGTGGGAACACATCAGCAACTGTCAAGATAAACCTGACCAGATTTGATTTCTATCTTGAAATGGAAAAAAAGAAAAACAATAGGGCAAATCACCCGAAGAAGTGTTCTCCAACGAGCCAGAGGGCCTGTGCAAATCCTATGAGCTGAGGGTCAAGAGGTTACGCAGCTTCAACTGTGCGATCAAACTCCAAACAGGCTCAAACGCCATGTCAACAGACACCTTCCTTTCTCTGAAGGAAGGTCTGCTTCCATGCCACCAAACTTGGTTAGAACTCCATGCCAGATCATTGTCTTCATTTGAACATAAATCCAAAGTCAAGACTCACAAGTCAGAAGCAAGTTGATAGGTACCGTAGGTGTTAAGAAATCCAAATTTGCGAGACTACGCAGAGAACGGGAGAGGACTTGTGTGATTAAAAACAACAAGGAGCTGTCAGTGGGTAAACACAGCCGAGGAGTGTATGAGCTGAGGCTTTTCTAAAAACAGGGCAGGTGTGCCGCAAGACCAGGTGAGCAACAGGGGCACGAGGCGAAACTGATTATAATAGGACGCAAAAGCAAACTAATATGTAAAGGGAAATGGGAGTCTTTCAAAAATTAAACAGATAGTCCAAAATCCAAAGACCAAGGAAAAAAGATACAAAACAGTAATGTTAATCCAATTTCACCCAAGCAGCGATTTGTGACTTAGATTTAAAGTGGCATTTGACCTTTTTCTTGTGGAGGTCTGTTGCATTCTGGGAAGCTTTCATCTGACAAAGAATCAGTTAGTTTGAAATATTGCGTCTAAGTTGATTAAAACTGTTATTTTCCAAAGTGTTATCCTATTGTTTCTGTTGGCTCAGTTGTACTGACCCTCTCTGCTGCAGACCGAAATCACCTCCTCCCATTGGCTGTGCTCTCCTTTTTCACTAGACTTAAATCAGATTAGGCTCATGGGGATAAAAAATTTGAAGGTGACATCAAACCATTGCAGAGGAATGCATGCAAATGGCGGAAACCTAAGAAGAAATAGAAAGCGGGCTAACAGTAAATGAAAGAACACTACCTTTATGGCTATGCAAAAAAACAAACAATCAAAGATGATGCTCTGATTTCTTTGTGAAGTATTTCTAATGTTTGAGGAATAGTCTGATTTTGATGTGTTTCTATTATCTTTCAGGAGAGCAGAGAAGAAGGATCATTTATAATTTCTTTAATTTTTTTTTCTTTTGACTTCATTTTCACTGGAAACTTTCCTCATCTACACTGACCATCATCAGACATCCCCCTTAAGACCAGAAGGCTCAACAATGCCGTCCAACACTGTTGCCAACACCAACAGCGCTGCATTCAAAAGCCCCGACTTTGCAGATTCACCTGGAAACAGAATGGTAAGATATGTGGAAAATTAGCCTCTGTTTTACCTTCCAATCCCTTTAAAGTGCACTCTGCTGGAGAGGGACTCATGAATTCTTATGTGAATACCTTTTTGGTGCCACTTGCTCCTAATTGGAGGTCATAAAGGACATTACTTTCTACTTAGCTCACCCAACATAATAGAAGAATTCATGCGTTTGTATTATTAACAATAACTCTAATAATCATAATTGAATTGCCACGATTAGATTTATGGTCCTATTACCAATGATGTTCCATGGATAGCAATAAAAGGAATCAGGTTTATATTCACACTGGACTCACAGTTTTCTGAATGAAGAGTTTAATGAATGATCCAAAGGCTTGAATTCACACTGAATTCATTGCTCTAGGTTTGGCTGGAAAATCCAGCAGGATGCAGCATCCTATGCCACCTTTTACGATGCGTGTAGACTCACAAAAGCGTAACTGCAGCATCATCCCTGTCGCAGCGGGCGCAGCATCAGGGAGGAGGCTGTGTGGAGGTTAGGCTGTATGATGTGACATTTGTTTGGTGTAATAGTGGTGGTTGCTGATGTGGGCGTTGGCTTGTGTAGGTTGGATTAGAGCTGGAAAACTGCTCCTTAATTGGCAGGGGGGGGTGGTGATTCTGTGTTCTTCTTCTTCTACGTTCCCATTACACAGTGCTGCCCTTAGTGTTGTTGCCAAGCAACAGAGATTGCCTTAAATAACCGGCTACTCAGGCGGAAATAGTGAAGAGATATTGACAATTTCTTAGGGCAAGAACTTTAGGCAACAGAAAATGATAGTCCAGATGGTTTGTATGTTTTTTAAATGTAATTTTTTAGAAAATCCTTAGGGCAAAGCAGTACGTGCAAACGGCCCGGTGGTTGGGTTCGTCTGAGCTCTCGGTTTGGGAGCGCTGTGGGGTAGACTGCATCCTGCAGAGAGGGCCTAGCACCACTGAATTGTGTCATCTATGTAAGTGCTTCCCAAATGAGCCTGCACACCAGGCTGCACTCAAAACATGCTATTATCAATGCAAATTCTGCTGCCCGTGTAAGGGCAAAACCAAAGCACGGGGGGACCCTTATTGCTGATTGCACAATGAGCAGAAACCATCTGCAGAGACACATTGGCCAACAAAACGACAGATACATATTTTTGAAATATTCATTTTAAGGCCTGCTGTGGTTTTCTGTATGTCTAGCATTTTTGTTACCCCCCCCCCACACACATTTGAGAACCGTTTAGACCCACTGTAATATTATGCACCATTTATTGCAATGTCAGTTACTCTGGTCTCGTGTGTTTCAATATGTAAATTAGTTTATCCCTCTGGATCCGTAATGGCTGATGGATTCATTTGAGTGCGCAGCAAACACTCGACATATATCATGGCCTGGCCTTTTAATGTTTCTAAACATCCCTTGATGCTTTAGCCTAATTAATAATAGCCATGTGCTACAATTTCAATGGCTTATTGACTTATTTTTCTATTTTTTAAATGGTATCTCATCCTTATTATACTTTATTCAACAACAAGCGATGCTTACCACCTTGCCAGGCAGATATGTTTGTTCTTGTTGTATTTAAAAGGTTAGAACCGCATGATAATTCAACACGCTTTGCTTAATGCCTGCTTTTTTCCCATACGGGAGGACTTCCTCTATTGTTCTGTTTAACACCATTTCATTGGCTGAAATACCAGTCCAGTTAATGCTGCATCAGCACAGAACTGGATGGGACACCAACGCTGTCGTAAAACCGCCAGAATCAACTGCAAGATACCATGTCTGGGGTGCACAAACATCTGGGCTGAAACATCCCATTTGCCTGACCACAAGGTGCATTTAGTCAGAGTTCCGAGACTTTTTTTTTATTCAGGTCACAAGACCGTCATCTAAACATGGAATCTGCACACTTGTCACAGGACCGCCAACGTCCATATTTCCATTTTCTGAGCAAGTTAAGGACATCCTGTCCCTTTTTTGGTTTGAAATATGAGGATCCTCGTTGAACTTAGCAACAGCAGAAAGAAAATCTCTCCCTGAGGCACAGTTAGTTGCTATTTTGGAGCGCTTTCTCCTCCAACTCACATGATATCCATGAAAGAGATGGAGTGTTTAAAACCAACAGGGATGAGACATTAAAGTGCTCAAAAAAGACAAAGGAAGACAGAAGGCTCCAGGAGAACCGAGCAAACTGGATTTCCGCGGATTTAAGACATTTGACAGAACGAGTAACTAAAATATCTCAATGGCTGTTTGAGAGTTCCAGAATATTTTAGTACTATTTGTTGTTTCCAATGCAACACAAAACAAATCTGCTAATCATTTCAAAGAATTACAGTTTAACTGAACATGGACACCGTGCCAGGCAAGTTTGCATGAGACTGAAGTCACAAAAGTGTCTCTCTGACCTCCTTCCTCTTGGTCAGTTACTTTTCTGGCGATATTGAATCTTCCCTCGTGAGGACAAAGTCGTGTCTCATCGCACAGTGATTTTTTTACGTGTTATACTACTCCACTCTGCCTAAGCTCAAAATAAATGCACTTAACAGCACTTCAGGAGAGGTACTTGGTCTCAGAATGCCTTATGGGCCTGAGAGCCTATATATCTTCGAGGGAATCTCACATTTAATACTGAAGGAATTTAATAAGGAACCAGCCCTACGTCCCCCCCTCACTGCAGCTGTCAGCAATGGCCTTGCAGTCTCATTTGCATTCAGACCTGGTGCTGCCCGTCCCATTCAGTCAATATTGAAGCTCAAAGCGTCTACATTAGGATCATCTTTTCTCTCATCAACCCTAGGGGTACTTCGTGGTGGCAGACATGGGGCTTTGTTCATTGGGGTAGACAGCCTTATTAATGAAAGGGAGATTGCAGTAGGGGGAAGGTGGTGGTGGTGGGGGGTGCCAGCGTGCTTACAATGGTGTTAAGAGGGAATTGTCTGTGGAAGGTCAGTGCTGCATCCTCAGAGGTTTCACTTCAGCCCAGCTCAAAGCAACACATCATTTGGTTTCTGCCTCTCCCATTGTCAAAGGAGTCCTTCTCAAAGTTCCAAGTGTTTCAGTGCACCGCGCATATTCAGTATCCCGCCAGTGGCATCAGAGATATTGCCCCTTAAAATGTTCAAATATAAAACGATTAGCAAGTATGGGGATTCAGTTTAATGCACATCTGGGCCAATAAAGCAAAGTTGACCTCTCCAAAGATAATGAACTCAGTTACTCAGATGGTTCCAGAAAAACCTGTGGCCCAAATCATCATGTGCTCTTTCTTTTCACAGGGTGAGAAGACAATACTGGATGTTGACCTGATGGCCGAGGAGAAGTCGCCTTTAAGTAGTGCCTCTTGTAAAATTGGCAAGCCTGAAAGGAAGCAGTTTCCAGTGAGTGTTGACCTGACATTGTAACATTGTCGTGTGTCCATCCCTTCATACCATTTCTTTATATATAACATTTAATCAATGGAGTTTCTGCAATGTCACAGATACTTTTCATAATGTGCAAGAATGTAAACTCCACTTTCTTAATTAATGTTGTAGTGTCTTTACTGCTCTTTTTAGAAAATAATCACTAATCTTCAGGGTGCCTTGCTATCTATGCCTCAGTGGAATGAGTCATGACCTTTTAGGGAACCTTTAAAGCTTGTCATATCTTTGCCTGGGCTGTTAATTGCAGCAGTGTCCTAACAGCGTGTTTACGTCTTTCCTCCATCTCTACCATGGTTCTGATGATATCAGATACCTTTTTTTAAAAACAGAACTTCTTCAGATTATGACCAGAGACAGCTTTTCCTCAGCAGTCAGTCAGCCGTGCGGTTGATGGCAGGATGGAGAAACCTGTCTGTCAGGATTAATCGTATATTCATTTTCTCTAATGAAATGTGAGAAGAGAGGAAAGAATTCAACACTGCTTCTTACCTTGCATCCATATACGTTGCCAATCATGGCATGTGGAAGCACGTCGGTTTTCTAAGACATACCAAAACGTATGAACCAGCCTTTATGTTGGGGCCTATAGTTGATTCCTCTGGATTTAGGCAGTGACAGGTTTTGTAATTCTACAACCAAACCAGGAGCTGATTATTCATTGTGACTAAATTTGGAATGAGGGTAGATGACTCTGCGATCTCTTAAACTCTCCAAATGGACACTGATGCTCATTTCACATGACTAAGAACAGATTTTGTGAAGCCGGTGAATTAAATAAATAAATCCAAAGTCCTGATGCCTTTTCTGTACCCCATAAAATTCAATCTCTGTGCATTTCTGACCAGATGGCAGCCATCGGCCGTCTCAGTACTAAAATAAACATATTGTTTTAGTCCTCAGAAAACCAGTTAACCTGTAGCCGTGGGCTTTTTTGTGCTCATGAATAAATAACTCACAGTGTCAGCTGTGTTTCTCATCTACACAGATCCAAAACTACAGCCATTTGGTAGCTGTGACTGTTGCCGTTTGAAGTTAAAAGCTCTGATTTAGTAATGACCCTTGGGCCAGTTGTAGACAGGCACATTTCCTTCTCCTCTGAGACGACGGGCATAAGCCTCTGCTTAAAGTTTGTTCATTAGATCTCACAATGTGATGAGACAAGCCAAAGAGGTGAATAGAAAAATATTTCCAGGGAATACATGGCTGTGGGCGGGGGGTGGGGGGGCTCATGCCAGAGGGCTTGTGTCAGTGCATGTAAAAACGCTAAGAGGCTGTTTCAGTAACTGATAGAGGAAAGCCGCGCTCGGATTCAGGGCGCCTGGGCGAATGTTTTCACAGCTGCGGGAGACCACATGTGCCAGATGCTCTGGTCACATAGCTGTTTCACTACTGCCGTTGTTGTTCTCTGAATGGCAGGCCGTGCAGCATGCATCCACCATCGAAGCTCTGTTTGATTAAGGGGACGTTGCCCAGCTTTTGTCATCGTCCATGGCAGCTTCAATGTTTGATTAAGCAGACGCTCTGCTCAGCTGGTGAGCTGCTTCATCCCGTGGCAAAGGATTGAAATATCAGGCTTTGCAAAGTAGCATGGTAGACTTTGTCCAGTGCACTCAGGTTTTTTTTACTCAGTGCACTGACTGTGTTCTGCACTGTTGGTAAAATGGTACAAATGCTGAAAACTGTGAATAATTCCAGTGAAAGTGACATTAAAATCCAATGTCAAGTATTCACATGTATTCAGTCCACATTTTAAAATCCAAACACACACAGTTTGTCTGGACAAATGAATGTAGGGAATCCCCACAGTGTGATAATCTTACCATTTTAAAAACAATAAAAAAAAGGACTAGAGTGTGTAAGTTGGTCATTAACAACATTACGGTATAAACTAAAACTGCCAGCCCGCCACCTCACGTTAATATATTAGAATATGTGTTTTCCCCCCAAGAGCAAGCAATAGATTATCCATCTTATAATTTACAACTGCCTGTGGTAAGAAGCTGATGTGTAAGTATAATGCAGCAGCAGTAATGTGGATTAGCTAGTTAGCCTTTCTGTCTTTCTGTCTGAGCTGTCTGATTTACCAGCTGTGACCTTTAACCTCTGGCAGGGGCCACATGTGGTTCACTGGGTCACTTGTCTGTTGCGTAATGCTTTCAGAGAGGCTTGTGTGCAGCGTGTTTGTGCATGTGCTCGACTCTCTGTTTGTTTCGGCGCATTTGCCTAAAACCCAAACACACACTCCGAGCTCTTTTGTCTATTTATGAACCGACGGAAAGCATTAATAATGTCAGGGCTGTGGGATGGTTGTTTTTGTCTATCGTGTCAAACAGATCCACTGGCAAGCGGCTCCTCGTTTGAGCGCAGTTTATAGCTAATTTGTTTTCGGTTACTACAGCGATGAAGTCATACAAACTCTTGTGGCCTGTGAAGAATGCCTTAAAGCCAAATTTGGCTTGTTGCAGCTTTGTTTTTACTATACTGTATGACTTCCACGGGAGTTTATTTGCCATGCCTGTTCCACCTAATTTGCTCTGCATCCATAACAAAGGCATTCTTTAGGTTTTGTGATTTCCTGTTCAGTCCACAAGAATCAGCTTATAAAACTGACCCCTTAGCTCGTAGCGCTGGATCTGCTTAATATCACCTTATGGCAGACAGATGCCTCCAGAGGCCCAGCTGCCCCTATTCTATGATAAATGCAAACTGAATTTTCAATGGTTTAACGCTTCATTGCCGGTCTTATCAGTGCTGGCAGTGTGATCTTCCAAGATATGCCCTACTTTTTGCTCCCAGAGAAACAGCGATGGAATTGTCTTTGGAAAGTGTGCTTTCATGGCTATTTTAGGGAGCGGTAGAGACACTATTTCATGTCATCAAACAGTTTTTGGCGATTCAACGTATCTTTTCTTGGTCTTCCAAGACATTTTTAGGCAGAGGAGCTGAATATTTGCCACTAAAATTTTATTTCAGGCGTCAGCAGTTCGGCTCTCTCTGAATTTACTCCACTGTCCAAAGTGAAGTACTTTCACGGGGCTCTCCAAAGTGGACAGAGCGAAAAGCGCCTTTTCCTGTCAAACGGCCAACATTCCCAACATATTTCGGTGCTGCTGTAATGATTTATGCACGCCTACAGGACTCTCTCGTACCTGATGAGCTGAAATGTAATCCCCTCCTCACTTGCATGTTAATGGCTGCAGAGCAGATTTACTGGCTCAGCTTTGAAGTCTGGAGTTTAACAGAACTGCTTGGGAAATGCCATAACTTAATAACTTCTAAGTGCAGAGTTAAGCTACGGTCATGATTTTGTTCAAAAAGAGCATAGGAGGCAAAAAAGTTAATATTAAGCTCACCTGAGACTAAATGGATGAATGCTTTAATTCACCTCTCCTTTGAAGTGATCCATTCTACCAGCTCTGGAAAGAGAAAAGTCTCTTTCAGTTGGCTCTGACAGTGCCAACTGTTTTGTTGTTGCTAGCTCTGATGTTTTTTTTTGTCTCGTTGTCTTGGCTATACAAATAGTATATTAACTGATTATCCAAAGCTGTTGACAGTCAAAGAACCGTGATAAACTTTCGAGGCATCGAACTGTAACATAGTTGCAGAAACATTCTTTGTGGCTGATAAATTGTTAACATTTTAAACTCCTCTTCCCCCACCTTTAGGTTGAGAGCTGCGGCTCTACCAAAGACAATGTGAGTGTTGGCAACACCTACGCTGTATGTAGGCCGTCCATGACCCAAGTCCACAATGGCGACATGGGCAGGCACAGAGACAGGATGCCCGATACCTGCTTCCCCAAACAGGAGAAGAGGGAAGTGGAGAATGGAATCCCCAAAGACCCCTCCGCCTTCCAGGTAGAAGCAGACGGCTCCCAGGGTCAGAGCCTGAGTCGTTCCCCGGAGAACGGATTCCTGCCCAGCCGGGAGGAGATGGAATTGGACAAGGAAGACAGTCTGATGATTCCGCACAAGAAACGTGGGAGACGGAAACTGGAGCGACCAACGAAATGTGAGTTTTTGGCCTATAGCTATGAAGCTACAGCCTGACTTCTGTCAGATTAAAGCCTCATAAAATCTAGAGAAAAGTGCAAAAACCCATGTCAAAAAAAGGCTTCAGCACAATCTCACATTGTTAGCATCAAGGAAAGATATATTTTTAAAGCAATTATATTAAGAGTAGTTTACCCACAGCACATAACATTCAGAGCACTCTCAGGTCAGAAAAGAAGAAGATTTCCTTTTCAAGGAAGCTAAGCTATCTGGAAGAACAACTGTAAATGTATCCCCCCCCCGCCCTTATTCTTACAACAGATGATATCACAAGTCGTATCAACCAGTATCACAAGCATGCCAGGCAGACATTCAATTCTGAACCATCTGGACACTTAATGGCTGGTTATGAGTAATTCAACCACCTCTGTCTGGACACATTTCTCCGCTGCATACCACTCATACCTCAAAATGCAGCTAGATTGTTAGCCACAACGCCAAATTCTTAAAGACCTTCAATTTGGGAGGATTTTTATCTGCAGAAAGAATTAGAAAATTTGGGATTGAATTATGATTGACTACACAGAATCATGGCAACAAATTTATTGGGATGTTCCTGCTTTTAATCCCAAGATCCAGCCCCCCCCCCCCCCCACGATTTGGATGAAGCAAGTATAAAAAATTGAGTGATTTTCTGATCTTTCAGAAAGAAAAGCAAGAACCCTCCCTTTCTGTGGCAATTGTTTTTATTTATATGTAGACAGTTTATAGATACCATATATCACGAAAAAGTAGACAAAAAATGTTAGAAAAGACAATTGCTGGACAACATTAGTTGACCTGTGGGAAAAAGGTGCAGATAAGTTAAGAAGTTTGGGCCACGGTGGAGATCTTACATATCACTTAGCTCCCTCCACACTCCAAGCCACACACTCGCTTTTTTTAGTCTGATCTCTACCTCTGCCACAGAGACACCGGCTATGACCTTGATGTGTGTGTGGTAAATAAATCCAGAGGAGTAGCAACTTGTCTCCTGACAACACGCCTCTTTCGGGAGCTGGTACGTCCCAGTTGGGGGCCCTGCCAGGTAGATGGCATCATGCCTAGAACCTTTTACAAACTGACTCTGCACTCTGTTTTCACTTGATCTGGACTTCTAGGATTTGTTGTCTCCTCTTAGCAAGAATTCCAAGAATACCCTGCTTGGATTTTTGAGAAATAGGCTCATAATAACATTTCTGAAGGATGTCTGAAGATTCTGTTTTGATATTCATCAAGTTAGGTACCATATTAGATTCACACTAACTATTTAGCCGTCATGTTGCTCCAATCGGGTTGATATCAACTCATTTTCTGTTGGGGCTATTTTATACTGTATAGCAGCATTGAAAGGAGCTCAGGTGAGAAGCTGAAACTCAATCTGGCTTTCAAAACAACATCAATGCGTCCTATCACTAACCCCTACACTTCCAGTTTTTTGTTTAAACAGGAGATGATATAACAGTGGTAAATATGCACCCATTTCAGATTAATCTTAATTGTATTGGGTTTATTGTTATAAACCATTTTATTTGCATTTTACATATCGTACCAACTTCTAAACAGTTGCAGGGGAAGGTCATTGGGTGGTACAGTGCTATCAGCTTGTGCCGAGTTGCCTCCAGTTAATATTTAAATAAGAATGTTATCTCTAGTATAAGCTGACAACATGTTTACCGATGCTGGAATCTGATATTACAACCTCTTAGCAGCCCCGTCTTATCACCAGCTCTCTTGGCAAAACTAGGAACTGTGACCCCCATACATAAAGAAATGTTATCCAGTTTAAAAGAAAAAGAACTGGATATTTAGAAAAGGCGTTGTTCGCCTCAAAGCCAAAAATGTCGATATTCACTCAGTCATTCAAGCCATGCAGCAGATGGCAGTGGCACGACTGGAGCCAATCACACTTTTCTTTGAAATATTTGACCTGCTCATGACACACCGACACAGTATTTCTATCATTCTTTCAATCCTGACATGAAATCTAACGCTGTGAGTACACACATTTAAGTAAAGCGTCGGTTAATTCCTCTCAGCAATGAGAGACCTTAGAATCAATAGTAAGCTGAACGGGGTTTCTGTTTTCCATCTGGAGGGCAGAGGAAGGATTTGAGCCCTGGCTGGAGTGGAACCGAGCCCCCTAGCAATACTAGAGCTGGAACCCGCTCAAACTGGCAAGGTATACTCTCTCTGGGCAACATTAGCCAACTCCCCTCGCAAACCCAGTGACCTTGGCAGTCGGTATGCCTCACCAATTTGTTATATAGTCACTTATTCGCGGTGAGGACAAGGAAACCAGTAGAGAGGGTGGGGGTTCAGGGGGCTCAGCCACACATGGAACCAACTTGAAGAGGCTGCAAAGAGAGCAGACTATTGTTTGGACAGGTCTGTATGGTACTTCACTGACAGGCCAGTTCTGCCTACATAGAACACATGCCGTCTAAAGTTGGTTCTTGCCTCTCGGGGCTCAAGTGTTACGATAGTGTTGGTGCTTCAACTCAACAGATAGTCGTGTTTACTCAGGCTCTGCCATCATGCTAATACGGGGCACAGCTGCTTGAACCATGTGGAATATTGAGCTGGAGTGACATCACTGAGTGTGGGCACTTTTAGAAACACTGTGAAAGCCAGACCTGATGTTGGATGAAAGTTTTGTGATAGAGTCTACTTATCTATTTTTTTTTTTTTTGGCACTGCTTCAGTCAGTTTAAAAAAAACAAAAAAACCCTCATGAATCATGAATCCAGACTGCCGTGCTAGTGTTTCAGTTGGGTGGTATCCATCCTCCCTGGCTAAACCCATCTCTGCTCTGCTGAACACAGGCAAACAATGCTTTTTAAGAATGAATAACATAGCCCAGTTGTAGTAGACCTCAAGATCTTAAATCATGGCCAAGTTAGTGGGAAATCCCAACCGGAACGTTTGCTGTGTTTGACTCATTTTTATTTGACTGCGGTTTGAGTGTATGTTTCACCAGATAGCCTCTATCCCCCCCCTATCTTTAGCCTGCACCTCTTAGTTTCACAATATCCTCTGTATGTATGGACATTTTCCTTCCTGTGCGACCTGTTTATCGTTACAGGAAGGTGAAGTAGCAGTTCTGCAATTTTTCCTTCATACATACAGACCAGGTCCAACACAAATTACACGGCAAACTAATAGTATGAAAGTAAGAGCTATATTCGAGATCAGTTGCAACCAGCTTATTCTAGTTTTTTTTAAGCGAGTGACTGAAATCAATCAAATAAAAATGTTCCACTCTTTATGGTTCATAGACTAATTGATATATTTGTTAAGAACACCTTTGGCAAGTTGTTCAATTCTAATAATGTCACTTGGGACTACATTTTTTGTCATAGACTATACATGAAGAATGTTGGACCCGTTTTTCACCACATTTTAACCACAAAAAAAAAAACAGATTGAAGAGTGGTAAATTATACCCAGTATGGGAAAAACAATCAGACTTTAGACTTTCTATTTAAGAGAAAAGTTCCAAATTAAAGAATATAAATTAGCAGAATGCAGGTTTTTCCATACTGTTCAGAATGACAAATTTGTGCGTTTGCACATCTACATGCATACACCAATCTGTTCAGATCCAGGGCAGTATTTCGTAATATGCTGCGAGATTTGGCCTATATACGGTTCAAACTCTAGTGATTTCAGATGATTCTGAGATCTGACCATGCATCTGATTTTCAGAGGTGTTTTCTCTCTGGAGTTCTATTTCTTTCTCTTTAATCAGACGAATAGTTTTTAGGATGAAAGGAAGGGTGAGATTAATAAATGTGGCATATGACTAATTAATGAATTAGTAACCTTGTGTGTTTAACACAAGGATAGCCAACGCTGTCTCACCTCGCTATGAATGATTCAGGCTATACATCGTGTCACTCTCTTATCTCTAGATGTGGAGCACAAGGAAGAGGACGGGAACGATGCGGTCAGGACCGAGGTAAGATTTCTGAGCTGTTTATGTCTTTGTTCTCTGTCTGTTCTTATGGCTTAGAGTTTCTATCACAGTTGGCAGGGCAACAACTTCCTTTTTTAGGGGTAAGAATTATGTTTCCTGGTTCAAATGGCATATCCTCTGCTTGCCAGTGAAATAGGTGACTGCGGAGCAGGCTAAGCACGAGTCATGTTGGATTAGCAACTTCTCCTGTCTTTTTCAGCACAAAAACCTAAAATATGTGGATTTTCACATAGATCAATCAGATTCAGGTATGTTATTGAAGTCTGGCTGCTCAGTGATGTAAAAGCTTTTTCGCTGATGATTATAAGGATTATTTATAATGTTTCAGTGTGTGAGGATGACTAGGTGCTGTTGGGTTAGGGTTATTTTCGACATTGAATTACATCAATTGGACAGATGCTTTTATACAAAGCCATTTACAAATGATAGGAGGAATTTGATGTGCATTTTCTCACCTTACAATTGACCAAGAGAAAAGACTAAGGGTTGAAACAAATCAACATTTAGATACAATTCGTACTTTTATTTTCCTTTCATTGACA